ATGCGGTAACAGTGTCAGACCCGGAGTGTTTACGTGCCGGGTGTAGCGCCGGAGGCCTCAGTGACGGTGTTTTCGTTACAGGAGACTCAATGAGAGAGAGAGAATTGGAGAACTAGGAGCCCCTGAAGTTTGGGGACTGTCACCAAAGGTTCCTGACCCCGAGTAAGGACCCCAGCCTTTCTTCTTTCCTTCCAGTTGTTGTGGTATTGATTATACATCAGTTGAATTTACAAAAATGTCTTATGTTAGTCCCTTCGCCCAAGTTCATGCTGTGTCAGTTCATTTCTCAATCAACATAACAAGATTGTTACTTTTCTTTTGTTTTCCCCAAATAATTCCAACATACTTAAAGCAAGGTATGATTTACTGTGGATAAGGTGACCTTTGTGTTGGGGTGCAGGAAGCAGTTCCTATGCTGCAAATTAGCTGTTTCATAGTTTACTCTGTTGCAAGTATTGACTCAAAATCCCCAAGCATGTGTTTGGTCATGCTCATACCTTTGATCTCGAATACTAGCAAATAGATTTTTAAATACAATTTTTTATTTTTATTCAGTTCCGATGAGCACACACCAGTAGAGGATGAAGAGGCAAAATCTAAGAGTAGTTCTTCAGATTCCAGCTCAGAAGGTACTTTGTTTTGCTTACACAAATGAAAATGGGAAGCTACCAAAGCCTGGAATCTGCCGTTCTTGCTTGCAAGAGGTTCCCTGACTTTGATAGGTGGGAGTGGGCTCTGGTTCCAAGGAGAGCCTTGCTTTGGGAAGATTGGGAAATACATATGGAGCTAGATGGTCTTTGTCTGTTTTCTAAAGTTATCTTTTAAAAATGTTCTAGAGGAAAAAAAGAAAAAGAAGAAGAAAAGAAAGAAGAAAAAACGGAAGGCATCCAAAAGAAAACGCAGAAAACATTCTGAGGACAGTGACAGCGACTCAGAGTCTGAGCAGGACTCCAGTGGTAAGAAAAGAGGCTTGGGCTGATGTGCGTGGTGTGAGAGCTTCCTCCTGCTCCTCTCAATGCAAAGTGACACTTCTGGCTTTTGTTACACACTTCAGTGTTCTGAAATTACAGCACCCACCTGCTGTTCTTTGCTTTACCATCTTGCTGGGTTTGCAGTGCCTTTCCCTTGAATGCTTGGGGTCTGGCCTCAGGAAATGGAATTTTTGGGTTGAGCATCCGTTGGGTGTCTCCTGCCAGAGACGTGTTCGATGTGTTCTCATACGGGACAATGCTGTCAGGAGCTTTCTACTAATACTTCCTTGGTGTTCTTTGGTACCTGAACAAGTCACGTCTGAGAAGCTGTGTGCTCAGGCATTCTGGTGAGGGCAGTTAGTTATTCACAGTGCAGTACATAGTTATAGCTAACCATCTCTTTTGATAATATATATATACTTGCTTTTTTTTATTTCAGATGAAGATAAGAAGAAAAGCAAGAAGAAGAAAAAGAAGAACAGAAAGTGAGTTTCCGGGTGGCTGTGTGTAACTCCACCTGCTTTTGGCTAGAGGGCAGCACCACTTTCTCAGCAGGTGCCGAGGAGGGCTGAGCACTGTCATTAGGGCTGTTAATGCTGTAGAAGAATCTTAATTTGTTGGGTTTTCTTTCAGTCTACAGAACGATGCAGCACAGAGGACTCGCTGCAAACATAGGGAGCCACTTTCTAACGCTATATGAAAGGCAGGATAGTGTATATATTGTCTTTGTTTTGCTGTAAGGCATTTTCTTTGAAACAACAACGATCTGGATGCACACAGGCAGTCTTCCCATAGGTGGAAGTTGCCTGGAGAAACTAATGACCTGAGTATGATTCTGAGTACTTTCTTTCATCTTAAATTTTGGTAAATAGCATCTCTGTCTTTGACTTTATCACAGGAAGAAGTATAAGAAAAAGAAAAATAAGAAAAGCAGGAAGGAATCCAGTGATTCAAGTAGTGAAGATTCTGATGACGAAATATTTCAAGGGGAAGATCTCTGGATTGAGAGATCAAGTAGGTTCATCTGACTTGGATTGAAACTTCTTGGTGTCCTTTTCATGAGTTCTTTGTTAGGTGTTGCTGACCTATGTAACTGTTCTGATAACAAAGAACAGTGGGCACAATATAAATCTTCCTCATTTTTTGATTGTTGCAGAAAATACAGAATCTGATAGCTTGATTGGACCAGAAGCTCCCAAAACTCATGCGTCTCAGGATGACAGGCCTTTGAAGTGAGTAGCCAGCTCTAACAGTACTTTGATCAAATCAAGTAAGTCACATGTGAAGGTTCCTGTTCAGAAGGGCTGTTATAACAACGTGGCATGAAGCAGAGAGAAATGCTGTGCCTGAAACTCACAGACAGAAGTGGTAGTGGTGCTAGCCTTTACCCTGGCCTGAATTCAGGTAGAAAAGTCTGATTTATGCTTTTTAGCCTCGATTCCTAGAAAATCGGTTGTAAGATGCCTGTATTCTAATGCTCTGCTTATTGTGACTTCAGAGTGTCTTCATTGCTGTTTAATCAGAATGGGTTCAACTGGTAATTTAAGATGATGTTGCTGGTGTTAGCCATAAGGAAGAAACAGGCCGATATGTGGGAAAGAATAACAAAGTGCTTAAAAATGCAGCTGTAGCAAGTAGTCAACAGGGAAGCTGAGTGTTTAGCTCCAGCTCTATTAGAGACTGATTGAAATCACTGTTGTTTTGTTTGTTTGTTTGTTTTAAGCTACGGGCATGCCCTCTTGCCCGGCGAAGGTGCAGCGATGGCAGAGTACGTAAAAGCAGGAAAACGTATACCCCGGAGAGGTGAAATCGGCTTGACCAGTGAGGAGATCGCATCGTTTGAGAGCTCTGGTTATGTCATGAGTGGCAGCAGGTATGGTTTCAATTCTTCACTGTGAGGGCGGTCACACACTGGCACAGGTTGCCTAGAGAAGTTGTGGATGCTCCTCCCTGGAAGTGTTCCAGGCCAGGCTGGATGAGGCTTCGAGCAACCTGGTCTAGTGGAAGGTGTCCCTGCTGATGGCAGAGGGGTTGGAACTGGATGATCTTTAAGATCCCTTCCAACCCAAACCATTCTGTGATTCTGTGATTATCATCATCAGTGAAATTTTCAAGAGCTCTTTCCTTTGTTGCCTGGTGGGAAGACTGCTTCCAGGCTCTAGTGGAAAGCAGGGAAGAGAAGGTGCTCTGTGTGCTTGCAGTAATCTACACTAAACTCCCTATTACTCTAGATAGATGGTGGGTTTTTTAAGGACACTTTCTCCTCAAGAGCAAAAATTCTTTCCAGGTAATATACTTGTAATTATCTTGTATTTCAAATGAGAAGATGCTTGTGTCAGGTGGCTCAAAGGTGGTAAGTTTGGGCAGCAGTGGTGATGTGCTGGCTTTTTAGTGGGAGACAAAGTGTGAGAGTTTGGCTGGGCTTTTTTTCCTCTGGAGTCAAGCAGGAATTTCACTGACATGGAGGCTAGTAGCTGACACCCTGGGGGCAAGCAGGGCTTCCTGCTCACTGCCTGAGAGCAGACACCCCCAGGAGTCAGTTTCTTGCTCTGCCACACTCCTTCCTGGGAAGGTTTCTGTGCAGTTTGGATTCTCTAGTGTAGGTATCTTCATGAGCCCCTCAAAACATTCAGGCCAGTGGGTGGATGGAAGCAGTGACAGGGCGTTCCATCCCTCACCATGTTCTCCTCCGCAGACATCGCCGAATGGAAGCTGTGCGTCTGCGTAAAGAGAACCAGATCTACAGCGCAGATGAAAAGAGAGCTCTAGCATCCTTCAACCAGGAGGAGAGGAGGAAGCGAGAGAACAAGATCCTTGCAAGCTTTCGAGAGATGGTCTACAGAAAGACTAAGGGCAAGGAGGAAAAATGATTCTTTATTTGAACTGTGCACCATGGATTCTACCAAGCAGCAGCTAAACTGTTCCAGTCATGATTTGAAAAAAAGCTGCAAGTGCTGCAGTGCCTTTCACCCAACAGGGCCAAGCCTCAGGAGTGGATTACTTGTGTCAAGGAAACAATTACTTTTGTTAGATTTTCTTGGATGTTTTGTTCACCATCTACAAGGAATCACTGTAAAGTGAAAGGCTACAAGGTAGGGAAGATTAGAGGTGGCAGTGTTGTGTGCTTGCTCTGAATCAGGCAAGCAGGAGGATTCCATGGGAGGGTTTTGTTCCCTGAAGCTGGTAAGTGTCATCTTCCATTTATTTTGATCAGTGAGAGCAGACTGGCTGTCAGAAGCGAGCTACTAGTAACAGCAGCAAAAATGAAGCAATCCCCAAGTTCCTGTTTGAGATCTAAGACTGTCCAGATATTTTTTCACAAGTCTTTTAGATTTAATTTTCTCAAGAGAGTTGAGTTTGGTTTGTGGTTCAAACTAGACTTGTAAATAGAAATGAGTTTGTAATTTAATACAGATGGGCTTCAGTTACTTTAAAGCAAGCAGATCACGACTGGGGTATAAAGTAGGAGTGATAGTAATAGCAGGGTCTGATCTTCAGTCCACCAAAGTCCGTGGTGAAGAGCTAAGCTGCTTGCGTCTTTTTCTCCTATGTTATACATAGGTCTCCAAGCCGTGGGGTGCAGTGATTGGAACCCCTGGATGTACATAGGTGGTGACAAGGATGTATCTTTCAATTTATTTTAATTTTTTTTTTGTCTGTGGAAGTGTTCTAGATTAAAACCTTATTTTAACTCTTGTAGTACTTTAATTTGGTCTGTTTCAGCAATATTACACGGCTCTTTAAACTCTGTACTCAGAGGCCTACTCCAGGTAGTGCTTCTCTAGTGGTGATCTTTGATTCAACTGCGTATCCCAACATTCGCCCCTTAGCTTTCTTTTTCTCACCTGCTTTTAAAAACAAAGTGTTTTGTTGTTCCCCTGAATCTCTGTGTTGTACTTTTGGCTGCAGAGATGTCTTGTATATTTGTATAAAGACAATAAAAGTCCTATAACGTTTGCCCTGGAGTTCTGCAGACCTGGTGTTCAAAAACAGCCAGTCCAGCCCAGTCTTGCCACTTTCACTCTGGAACCTGGTTCCCTCCTGCCATACCCACCCATACCTGTAAGGGACTGCAAGGTAAAGCCAGCTGCCAGGTCAGGCCATAGTGGATTTTGCACATATTTAATGATTCTATGTATCTACAAAGTAGAAATGCCAATAAGGAAGAGCCATTCTTTCTTCACTGCGTTTATTTGATTCTCCACAAAATAGCAACAGAGCGTTGTTGGTGGTGAATTGAAGCTGTTCATTAGGAAGTAAGTCTTTCCATGAGGATTATTTTATTTTCAATGATGTCCTTAAGCCACTTTTCTCTAAACTGACATTGTTCTGGCCTGGAGGGTGGAATAAAAAGAGGATAAATAGTAAGAATAATATTGAATCCAAGTTTGGCCAGCTGAGGGCTGGCCTTTATTCACAGGGCAAGCCTGTCTACTGAAAAAAAGAAGATTGCCTAGACCTGTATAAATCCAGGGCAAATGCATCCTGGAGAAGGCAGGTGCTCATGGGGTGGCTATCCATGCTTGTGCTGGAGTGAAGCTAAGTTATGATAAGCAGGGTCATTTGATTTTGCATAGCAAGATTTTGAAGGCTTCCTCCTCCTCTCTTCTATGATTGCAGACTTACTTACATCAAGCTCCCTGCTTGGTTTGGGCATGGAAAAGCTTGCTAGAACCTCCCAAGTTGTGTCAGTGACGAAAGAGTCGTAATATTTACCTGTGAATCAGCCTGCTGGACTCCAGAGTGAAGAACAGCTCCACAGGCAAGGTCTGCAAGAGAGGAGAGACGGGGCAGAGCTCACATACAGGACCTCAAAAAGTGGATGTTTTAATTAGATGAGAGCTACTATCTAATCTACTTCTTCAGATATAACCTGTGTATTTGTACAACATTCCTGATACGGGTTAGAAATAGTTTTGGTTGAAAGCCTCTGTGAGCGTTATCTTGTGAAGGCAAAGCTCAGATGTTACAATTTTAAGCTTGTGGTAAGATACAACGTTTCTGACCAGTGGCTGTGAGTGGTTGTGCTGGTTTTGGCTGGGGTAGGGTTGGTTTTTCGCAGCAGCTGCTGTGGGGCTGTGGTTTGGATCTGTGCTGTAACAGTGTCGGTGCCACAGGGATGTTTTCGTTACTGCTCAGCCCTGCTCACAGAGTCAAGGCCTTTCTGCTCCTCACCCCACCCCACCAGCCAGCAGGCTGGGGCTGCACAAGCAGTGCACAGCAGTCAGTTGGACACAACTGATCCCAACTGACCAAGGGACATCCCAGACTGTGTGGCATCGTGCTCAGCGTATGAAGCTGGAGGGGGGTGGCTGCTGCTCAGGGACTGGCTGGGCATCAGTCGGTTGGTGATGAGAAATTGTTTTAATTTTGTCACTTGTCTTTCTTAGTTTTTATTTTTCTTTCTCCCAGTTATTTTTTTTTCTTACAATTTGTTATTATTGTTTCTTTTTTCAAATTATTGAATTGTTTTTATCTCAAGCCACAAATTTTCTCACTTTTACACTTCTAATTCTCTCCCCTATCCCTCTGGAGTGGCAGAGCAGGTGGCACAGGCAACTAAGCATAGGTTCTGGTGGTAAAATAGTCTACTCAGTGGAATTTATTCTTTTCTCTTGAGCTGCAACATATTATTGTACAGGTGACAAACTTGAGGCCATCTGGAGAGGGGTTCTGACACAGCCTGAAGAGCAGCAGGCCAGTCTCCCTGCTGCCCTGGCGTTTCCCTGCCTCAGGAAACCCCCCTGTACTCTCGTCCCCGAGAGGACTGGTGCATGCTGTTTCTGCTACTTACGGCAGGTTTGACTTTGGAGATCTCTGTAACAAAGTAGACACTTGCTGTTGCTCGTGGGACGGGTTTTCTGCGTGTTGGGATGCTCCAGCAAACTCTGTAATGGTACCTCTTGCTGTGCTCCAGTTCTTCTTCGTGGAGAAATTCTGACCAGTGAAGCCAGCTTTCGTGAACCTCCCATGTCTGCTGAACAAAAGCACCGCACTGAGATTCCCTCTGTCTAGTAGAGGTGACTTGAGGGAGGTGCTAAAAATGAACTGAGGTGCTCTGAGTTATTTTCTCACACTCTTCAACAGTGAGAAGGTGTGACCTTCCTGAGTGGATGAACTGTCACTCACAGCAATGAGTTCTTCAATCTGCTGCTGTCCTCTCTCCACTGTGAAGTTGTTGCCTGTGATGACATTCTTGGTTTCTAAAATAGATAAAAAGCTGACAAATCTTTCTGGGAAGACCCTGACACATGCAAATAGAGCGGGCATGCTACCTTTGTCTGTACAGCTTCTCCCATTTCCTGTGAGAATGGGAGCCTTTTCCTCACTGCCAGCGTTTTCTTCTCCACTGTCCATTGTCTTCACCTTTAGAAAGGGAACTGTACTAAGAGAGTTGTTCTTCAGAGCTGTGGGACCCATCTGAGAAACTTCAGGCTGACCTGGAGAGGGGTTCTGACAGGGCATGAAGAGCAGGGGGCTGCTCTCCCTCTGCTGACCCCCCATTCTGTAACTCACCTGTGCTCAGCCCAGCGCGGCTGCTGTTGGTTCTTCACTGCCCTGGTCGGGCGAGCCGCAGCCCGGAGGGGTCTGGTTGCAGTCAGGGGTGGCTGGTCCCCGGGGAGCTGGGCTCTGACCCCGGCAGTGTCACTGTGTCCAGGACAGGACCTGCAGAGAGAGCAGCTCCCTGGCGCCGTACCAGCCATCCGGGGAGTGTTTGCTCCCTGTTGCCATGGCAAGGCAGGCAGCCAGCCATGGCCGCGTGCCAGCGTTGGCATCCGGGGGAGCCTGGGGAAATAGCCACGTAGATGTGGCGCTGAGGGACAGTTTGGTGGTGGACTTGGCAGTGCTAGGTTCATGGTTGGACTTGATGATTCGAGGGTCTGTTCCAACCAGAGCGATCAGTGATCCAGCTGGGGAAACGCAGCATGACAGTCACAGCGCTGGAAACCGCGCAGGAATTGCTCTGACTGACCTGACTCTGCACCGTGTTCTCGGTGTGGTTATGTGTGGTGGTTCCACCCTCCGTGCCTCACAGTGAGTCAGCGTTAAGGGCAGTGACACAGGCTCTGCGTTTCCCTCTCCCCTTTGCCCTACTTGAACCAGCCAGAGTCGTCATTTATAGCGGATTTAGGAAGCAGCAGAAGCAGCTTTTGGCTGGGCTGTGAGTTCAATCTGCTGAACAGTGCTGTGCTGGGAGGAAGAACCACAGGCTGCAGGAGGTGACACTGGCTGTGCACACAGCCCCCTGCAGTCAGCAGGGTTGCTCCAGGGAACTGCATGGGATCAATCCTGCTGTCTTTCTGCATTTCACCAGTTCTTATTGTTGCAGGTGCATCTGCAATGGTAGTTTTGTGGTTGTGCTCTTGGTGTTCCTCCTCTTCCTCTCTGACACCTGCATCGTGTCTATATTAGAGTGCATCAAGGGAGGAAACCAATTCTGGGCAAAGCTCCTACACAACTGTATCAAGGCGAGGTTTGGGTAGTGGGGGGCTGCAGGGGTGGCTTCTGTGAGAAGCTGACAGAAGCTTCCCCCATGTCCCACACAGCCAACGCCAGCCGGCTCCAACATGGACCTGCTGCTGGCCAAGGCTGAGTGATGGTGGGCCCATCAGTGAGGGTGGGAGCGTCTCTGGGATAACGTATTTGAGAAGTGGAAAAAACTGGGGCACCTGGCATCCAGCCAAGGTCAACCTACAACAGCAACAGAGATACAAGGGTTGAATACCTGTATATCTTTATTAGAGTTCAATCATTTTATACAGATATGTGGATTCTTCAAAGTGCTGCCACCTTAGTCTATGTTCTCCAGACCCTGAAAAAGAAGCAGCAAGAGTTATATCTGCACCATTCTCATTGCTAACTTGCAAGAAAGTATAGCTGAAAACACAGTTTTTCAAACTTCTGAAGCACCAAAGTACCCAAGTCCTAATAAAAAAATAA